CTGTGAAGGAGTGCCAAACTACATATTCTGTGAAGGAGTGCCAAACAGTTCACTGGTCTTGATGATAATGATTCATTTGATTTTATCAATCAAGGAGGGCATCTTTATATGGTGGCATAGATTTGGTATTAAAAGCACTTGCCTTGTTCAAACTGCAGGCCTCAAATCATTATTTTTATATTTTTATGCATTTTGGAATACTGACGGTCCAAACAGCAAGTTACAAGTGACAAAATCGGATTTGTGTGTGTTCAGACAGCAGTCAATTGCTGACATTGCTACGCTAGTTGTTATAGTAATGACGGATGTGTGCGTAGTGGTGTAGGCTGATGGGTGGTGGTGTTCCTGCTTTCCATCACTCAGAAGTCGGGTAGAAAGCTATGGTCGGTAACAACAATGCCTGCCATGGACATTTTTCAGTTGCTTTGAATGTTCAAAATCATACACTCTTAGAAAAAAGGGTTCCAAAAGGGTTCATTGGCTGAACCCTTTTTGGTTCCACATAGAACCATTTTGGGTTTCATGTAGAACCCTCTGTGGAAAGGGTTCTACATGGAACCCAAAAGGGTTCTACCTGGAACCAAAAAGGGGTTTTCAATAGGGACAGCCAAAGAACCCTTTTAGGTTCTAGATACACTACATGACCAAAAGTATGTTGACACCTGTTCGTCGAACATCTCATTCCAAAATCATGGGTATTAATATAGAGTTGGTCCCCCCTTTGCTGCTATAACAGCCTCCACTCTTCTGGGAAGGCTTTCCACTAGATTTTGGAACATTGCTGCGGGGACTTGCTTCCATTCAGCCACAAGAGCATTAGTGAGGTCGGGCACTGATGTTGGGCAATTAGGCCCGGCTCGCAGTCCGTGTTCCAATTCATCCCAAAGGCATTCGCTGGGGTTGAGGTCAGAGCTCTGCGCAGGCCAGTCAAGTTCTTCCACACCGAACTCGACAAACCATTTCTGTATGGACCTCTCTTTGTGCACAGGGGCATTGTCATGCTGAAACAGGAAAGGGGCTTCCCCAAACTGTTGCCACAAAGTTGGAAGCACAGAATCTTCTAGAATGTCATTGTATGCTGTAGCGTTAAGATTTCCCTTCACTCAGTGCTTAATTTGAGCCGGATCCTGCCGGAACAGGATCCAGCACCTCTCAGTTTTGGACTGTTTCTTTCCGGAACCTATTTGCCAGGATCCGGTACCTCTCGTGGCATCAAACATAATTTTCAATGTAGATATTTGAATAAAAGCGATCAGAGTTGCCTCCTCTGTAATTCTCCTGCACCCTAAAAAAAACGTAGCCTATGTGAAAACTTAGATATTCTAAGAATTGATTCGGGTTGGGCCAGCCCGGGTTTATGATTTGCGCAACATTGTACCCTAGAGACCATCTCCTGGCAGTTGCAGTGGTGGGAGAGAGAAGCGTGCCTGTATCTCTCTCAGAACCAGAATGAGATTCACTTTCTATGATCTCTTTCCCTCTCTCTGCTCTGATAGACATGAGCCTGCAAATACCATCTCTCCAGAGTTGTTCGTAATCATTTTCTTATAGAATCATAACCATGGGAAGGGTGCTGGTGGTGCTGCAGCACCGCTGATAAATTGAAATACATTTGCCAAAGTTATAGAATTACTGCCATCTGTTCAGAAATAAATGAAATAATTCAGAATACTACACCAGGAGTAGGCCTATAATTTATCCACCGATGATCAATAGGTTTTGTTTTTGCCTAGCTTGGATTGTGTGTAGCCCAGTCACAAGGCATTGCCTACAGTCGGGAACGCGTGGTAAATCTGTCAGTGAACAGCATGCAGCCAAAACAGGCCTTTCTCAATATTTCAAATACAGTCATGGGATAGCACAGGTTTGAAGGCAAATGCCTCCTGCTGAAACAAAAATACGTATCTCTCTGTAGGCTACGAAAATATTGTATCAACTTCCAAATAGGCCTACTGAGTGAACAGCATTGTTTTTACATTGTTTTACGACGCTTGTGGTCCTCTGTAGCTCAACTGGTAGAGCACGGCGCTTGTAACGCCAAGGTAGTGGGTTCGATCCCCGGGACCACCCATACACAAAAATGTATGCACGCATGACTGTAAGTCGCTTTGGATAAAAGCGTCTGCTAAATGGCATATTATTATTATTATTACAAACTAAACCGAGAGAGATAGTGAGCTGCGCATCATTGGTTGAGTCATTGAAACTGGAAAGCTTTTTCTGGACTATAATTTCCTCCTCATATTGTACAATATGTGTCTCCTCCACACACCTAAACCTATGCTATTGATGGATTCAAGACGAGGTCGTTTTTAATGATCTCATATTCTCAGTTTGTCAATGTCAAAATAGCCTGACATTTAAACCATTGGTGAGGTATTACAAAATATTCGGCTACAGTCTCCAGTCATGTCAAAATTACATAGAATTGCATGAAATGCGTTTATAAAAGGCCACATTTTTTCGGGCCCTAGGCTACAAAAATCAATCTGCAAGTGCCTCTACTCTACTGCTCTAGTCTAGACCACTATGAAAATGTAATGATATGCATGCAATGCTTTAATATAAAGGTGATTTTCTGGTACCTCAGAGCTCCCCAGGTCACCCCCTTCTAGTGCTCAGTTTTTGTTCCGGCACCTCCGATTCACAAATTGAAAAACAGCCCCAGACCACTGTTCCTCCTCCACCAGACTTTACAGTTGGCACTATGCATTCGGGCCGGTAGCTTACTCCTGGCATCTGCCAAACCCAGATTCGTCCATCAGACTGCCAGATGGTAAAGCGTGATTCATCACTCCAGAGAACACGTTTCCACTGCTCCAGAGTCCAATGGCTGTGAGCTTTACACCACTCCAGCCGACGCTTGGCATTGCGCATGGTGATCTTAAGCTTGTGTGAGGCTGCTCGGTCATGGAAAGCCATTTCATGAAGCTCCCTACGAACAGTTATTGTGCTGATGTTGCTTCTAGAGGCAGTTTGGAACTCGGTAGTGAGTATTGCAACCAAGGACGGACGATTTTTACGTTGTTGCTCCTAGACGTTTCCATTTCACAATAACAGCACTTGCAGTTGACCGGGGCAGCTCTAGCAGGGCAGAAATTTGATGAACTGACTTGTTGGAAAGGTGGCATCCTATGACGGTGCCACGTTGACAGTCACTGAGCTCTTCAGTAAGGCCATTCTACTGCCAATTTTTGTCTATTTTTTAAAATTTATTTCACCTTTATTTAACCAGGTAAGCCAGTTGAGAACAAGTTCTCATTTACAACTGCGACCTGGCCAAGATAAAGCAAAGCAGTGCGATAAAAACAACAACAACACAGAGTTACATATGGGATAAACACAACGTACAGTCAATAACGCAATAGAAAATCTATATACAGTGTGTGCAAATGTAGTAAGTTATGGAACTAAGGCAATAAATAGGCCATAGTGCAAAATAATTACAATTTAGTATTAACACTGGAATGATAGATGTGTAGAAGATGATGTGCAAATAGAGATACTGCGGTGCAAATGAGCAAAATAAATAACAATATGGGAATGAGGTAGTTGGGTGGGCTAATTACAGATGGGCTGTGAACAGGTGCAGTGATCGGTAAACTGCTCTGACAACTGATTCTTAAAGTTAGTGAGGGAGTTATAAGTCTCCAGCTTCAGAGATTTTTGCAGTTCGTTCCAGTCATTGGCAGCAGAGAATTGGAAGGAATGGCAGCCAAAGGAGGTGTTGGCTTTGGGGATGACCAGTGAGATATACCTGCTGGAGTGCATACTAGGGGTGGGTGTTGCTATGGTGACCAATGAGCTAGGTGTTGCTATGGTGACCAATGAGCTAAGATAAGGCGGAGATTTGCCTAGCAGTGATTTATAGATGACCTGGAGCCAGTGGGTTTGGCGACGAATATGTAGTGAGGGCCAGCCAACGAGAGCGTACAGGTCACAATGGTGGGTAGTATATGGGGCTTTGGTGACAAAACGGATGGCACTGTGATAGACTACATCCAATTTGCTGAGTAGAGTGTTGGAGGCTATTTTGTAAATGACATCGCCGAAGTCAAGGATCGGTAGGATAGTCAGTTTTACGAGGGCATGTTTGGCAGCATGAGTGAAGAAGGCTTTGTTGCGAAATAGGAAGCCGATTCTAGATTTAACTTTGGATTGGAGATGCTCGATGTGAGTCTGGAAGGAGAGTTTACGGTCTAACCAGACACCTAGGTATTTGTAGTTGTCCACATATTCTAAATCAGACCAGCCGAGAGTAGTGATTCTAGTCGGGTGGGCGGGTGCAAGCAGCGTTCGATTGAAGAGCATGCATTTAGTTTAAGAGCAGTTGGAGGCTACAGAAGGAGTGCTGTATGGCATTGAAGCTCGTTTGGAGGTTTGTTAACACAGTGTCCAATGAAGGGCCAGATGTATACAAAATGGTGTCGTCTGCGTAGAGGTGGATCTGAGAGTCAGATCCAACTATGGAGATTGCATGGCTGTGTGCTCGATTTTATACACCTGTCAGCAACGGGTGTGGCTGAAATAGCCGAATCCACTAATTTGAATGGTGTCCACATACTTTTGTATATATAGTGTAGCTTATTTTTTTCAAAGAGTGTAGTGTAAGAACACTTTTAAAGCCTCAACTAGCTAGCTAGGTTATATGTTAAGCACATTCACTAATTAACAAGCAAGTTAGCTAGCAAGCAACAAGATATGCCAGATATCAGTCTAAAAACCACTTATAATAACCTGATTTATCCGTTGCATGGCCAGGATTCAGATTTTGTATTGAAATATCCGATTCCATGTGCTTTTTGGCTGTTCAGACAGCAATATTCGAAAAGGATATGCAAAAAAAATTGCCAGTGTGAACAAGGCTTTAGATTCTGTAGTTCTGCAAGCAACTGAGCAGCTGCCCCCATCAGACCCACTGCTTTGCATTTAATACCAACACACCGGTAGTGTAATAGCGCTCATACTCATGTATCTACGGTAAATGGGGGAGAGTTGGACAAGAGTGTTACATTTTCGCAACTTGAATAAATCGCGTTGTTGTGTTTCAGGATGAGGTAAGAGTTGGTGATGTGGCAGACGGTATGGCTTGAGCGCATCATTTCTAAAAGAACCATTAATGCTTTTCATTGGTTATAACCTATAGCGATCTATAAGTGTGTAGATGCAACTCGATAAACCGTATGGCTTGGTTTTGTTTCGAAACGTTCAACCCGTGTTTCTATCAGGTTCTTTTACTGTATGGTTTGACCTTCTGGACAGTCATAAACTAAGACGTTCACCCATAAACTCTAAAGCAAGTCCTCGCACTGTTACACAACACTGAAGTTAATGCGTGACTGTTTCCTTACGCGAAAAAAAGTGTACGTTTTGCTGAAATAACTTATTTTTCAGACTATATTAGGCTATAGTCTACTTTTTGTCTTTATCTGCGTGGAGCTACGGAGAGACAAGCATGAGGAGATATCAGTCAGTCGGTCGGCTACTTGTGTAGATCAGAGGAAGATAAGAGGACAATCGTATATGTTGTTCACAAAACTAACGTTCTGTACCGTTTCACACTCCTGAACATACCTTATGTTATAGATCCCTGAGATAAGTTAATGCTGACTTCACACATACCCTAGACAGATAGGTAATTGATGTCAATAGGAAGGTTATAGAGCACCATTTGTCTCTTAAGGTATGATCTATCTCTCCATCAGGCTGTCCCCCTGGTGTTCCATGAGGTGAAATGTTTAGAACCGTTACAGATAGAAACACAATTAATTTAGCTGACTAACAGATGATCACATCAGTTCTACATTATACATACTACCGATCTATGTGAACGTTCTGTAAAACTGCTCCCTCCTGACCTCTAATCCCTGACCCCCAGGCTCTGCTTGCTGGCCCTGTTGCTGTGCCTGGCCACAGGAAGGGATGTCACAGCGTCAGAGGAGGACAGGAAGCCCAACTTCGTCCTGATGATGGTGGACGACCTCGGCATTGGGGACATCGGTTGTTACGGCAATGACTCCATCAGGTAACAGAGGCAACCAGGCAATCTGCAGCCGTCCCAAATACTGCAGTCTGAGTTTCTCTCTCTCTCTCTCTCTCTCTCTCTCTCTCTCTCTCTCTCTCTCTCTCTCTCTCTCTCTCTCTCTCTCTCTCTCTCTCTCTCTCTCTCTCTCTCTCTCAGGACTCCTAATATCGACCGTTTAGCAGCAGAGGGAGTGAAGTTGACTCAGCATATAGCTGCCGCTCCTCTCTGTACACCCAGTAGAGCTGCCTTCCACACAGGACGCTACGCACTGCGCTCAGGTAACACACACAAGTAACACGCACACACTCACGTACAAAGACAATATTGGAAGCATTATTGGAATTAATGGAATGTCTTTGTGTGTCTTTCTATTATAATGTGTGTGTAGGTCTGGGCAGTACAGGGCGTGTGCAGGTGTTGTTGTTTCTGGGAGGTTCTGGGGGTCTACCCCCCACTGAGACCACCTTCGCTAAGAGATTACAGGAGCAGGGATACACCACCGGACTAGTGGGTAAGACACCCCCCCCCCCCCCCCCCCCCCCCCCCCACACACACACACACACACACACTAACACACTGATGTGTACCTGTAGGAAAATGGCACCTGGGTGTGAACTGTGAGCGTCGAGGGGACCACTGCCACCACCCCAACACACACGGCTTCAGCTACTTCTACGGCCTGCCTTTCACCCTGTTCAATGACTGTAGACCAGGGGAGGGGACGGATGTACTAGCTGACCTACAGAACAGACTGTGGCAACTAACACTGCTGGGGTCCCTGGCCCTGCTCAGCCTGGTAGGGTCCAATGACTCCCTATTCCACATGACAGTGTCATGTCTGTTCTACATACTTAATCTCTATCTGAGAGCCTCAAACAGTTAACTGGCCTTGATGATAATGATTCACATGGTTTTATGAAACAAGGCCATCTAATGGCGTATTTTGATAGTTTTGCAGGTTTGTCTAACTCCTCTCTCCCTGTCTGTAGGTGTGTGTGCGTGTGTGTGGTCTGCTTGAGGTGAGTGTGTCTGTCATCGTGGCGGTGACCTGTCTGTGTCTGCTGGCGTTCAGTGTGTGGTTCGTCCCGTTTGAACTCCTGATGACCTGGAACTGCATCATCATGAGGAACCAGGAAGTGGTGGAGCAGCCCATGGACCTAGACACGTTATCACAAAGACTACTGGGAGAGGCCCAGGGCTTCATAGAGAGGTCAGAACAGTCAATCAGTCACTCAATCAATCATTACATTTTTATAGATTTTCCCCACATTGGCTATACCTATCTAGTACGTTCAGGGTAAAGGCTAGGGGTCAGTATTGGGCGAGAGTTCAAAGCTTGTTTGTGTGTGTGTTCGATAGGAATGCTGGCAGGCCGTTCCTCCTGTTCCTGTCTCTGGCCCACGTACACACTCCTCTGTTCTCCTCTCCTGGCTTCGCTGGGAAGAGTCGCCATGGTCTCTATGGAGACAACGTAGAGGAAGTGGACTATATGATCGGTGAGCGGTTTGTGTGTGTGCGTGTGATAGCTCTGACCAATAACACTGATAGATTAGAATGTTTATTATGTTTACGATGTGTATTAATGATCTTACTATGATTTTATATGCTCTCAGGTTGTATGACAAGCAGTGGACAGGTTGGGTCTAGCCATCAACACTGTTGGATTAGAATGAGTTATGTTTCTGATATGTATTAATGATTGATCTTCTGTCAGGTCGTATGACTGAGACAGTGGACAGGTTGGGTCTGGCCAACAACACAATGATGTATTTCACCTCTGACCACGGAGGCCATATTGAAGACGCAGATGAACAAGGACAGAAAGGAGGCTGGAATGGAATCTACAAAGGTAACGACCAATCACAGGCCTGTACAGGGGTAACAACCAATCAAATAGAGCCATTTGAGCAATCAGGAAACGGACGTGAAAAACATTCTGATTGTCGTCTCCTCTCCTCTCATACAGGTGGGAAGGCGATGGGTGGATGGGAGGGAGGTATCAGGGTGCCAGGTATATTCCGTTGGCCTGGCAGGCTACCAGCAGGCAGAGTGTTTGACACACCCACCAGTCTCATGGACCTCTACCCCACACTCACACACCTGGCCAGTGCAACACACAGCGACAGGTACGTGTGTGTGTGTGTACTTGTGGTGTGTGTGTGTACTTGTTGTGTGTGTCTGCCTATCCTCATGTCTGGATATTCCAGGTTGTTAGATGGCTATGATCTGATGCCTGTTTTAGAGGGGAGGACAGAGCGGTCGCAGCATGAGTTCATGTTCCACTATTGTGGTGTTTACCTCAACGCAGTACGCTGGCACCCACCTGGGAGTGAGTACACACACACACATACACACACTACTATACACTACAACACACACCATCATCTCATTACATGTGTGTGTCTCCCCAGGTGAGTCCGTCTATAAGGTCCACTTCTTTACCCCTAACTTCTCCCCACCGGGCGCTGGCGGTTGCTATGACACCAAGGTTTGTTTATGTCACGGAAGTCATGTGACACACCACAACCCCCCCATCATCTTTGACCTTCACACCGACCCCTCGGAGTCCCGCCCCCTGACCCCAGACACTGAGCCACGCTACCAGGAAGTTATACAGCAGACTGCCAAGGCCGTGGAGCAGCACAGTGCCACCCTCACACACACACATCCCTCACACACACAACCAGACACACACACTCCCCGGTCCGAGCCTGTCCCCAACCAGCTGACGTGGGAGAAGATTCTGTGGCGTCCATGGCTGCAGCCCTGCTGTGGAACATTCCCCTTCTGTGGCTGTACAGAGAACATTACGTCTACACTGGCCTAACACACACTCCTCGATGGCGGAGAAATGTGAAGGGAAATATGAAGAACTTTGAATGGATCAACTGCTTTTTTAATTGTTATAATATTTTTCAGACCGTATAATTTTTCAATGACTTCTAGACAGTTGTACATAGCTATATGAAATATGGTAATAATTTGCTCAAAGATAAGTTATCTGTTGTTTTGATATCTGGACCAATCTTGTAATTTGCAATATTGATTTTGATTTAAAACAATTAAAACCTAAGCATTCTGAAAAAGCTGTTTATTTATTTTTTCTTGGAAGTTTGTGACTGTACAGCATGCACCTGTCAGTTACTACTCTTCACCACAGGGTGGAGCCACCTCCCTGGAATAAACATTCCTTTCTGCTGCAGTACATGTAATAAAAAAATAAATATGCCATTTAGCAGACGCTTTTATCCAAAGCGACTTACAGTCATGCGTGCATACATTTTTTTGTGTATGGGTGGTCCCGGGGATCGAACCCACTACCTTGGCGTTACAAGCGCCGTGCTCTACCAGCTGAGCTACAGAGGACCACAATGTATGCTGTCTCCTGTTTTTTATCTAGTTCAGCTGCATCTATGTTTACCTGAAACTGTGCTGGATTAGCTCCTAGCAGTCTGGAGTGTCTGACACTCCACTGAATCACAGTTACTTTGCTATTACAGGCCAGGGTTACTGAGTTAGGCAAGGTTATGGTTAGTTATGGCCTGTGAGAGCTGTGCTCTGGGAGTGTAGGTGGATCATAATACCACCAGGTGGCACTGCAGCCATGTGTATCAGAGACAAACAGCATCATAGACGTCAGTACAATGCGCATGCTGGACAGCACACCCAGGTTCAGTAGGATAATGTTTCATCTGTGGTATTGTGTGGACCCACTGACTTCCAACTGATCAGTGGTGTGTGTTTCTTATTAAAGTGATGGATGCAGGACAGTGCATCTGATATCGGATCTGATATTGTTGTGGTGGCTGACCTCAAGTGTTTCAGCCTACTCTACTGTCTAAGGATCTTTTTCTTCTGATAAGATTAAAACCTCATCTCGATTCTGTTAATCCTTCAAGTTATTTTCTGTTCTGTATTAAAGGATTATTTCAGGATTCTTTGAGTGTTCTAAATCACACTGACATGAATAGCTCTCTACCTCAGTCACGGGCCAAGACTGGTCTTATCTAAATAGACAGACAGCAGTCATTGTGAAGCTATACTAGAAGACATGGTTAGAGTTAAGAGTGTGTAGGCCTCCTGTAGAGGCTAGGGCTCTTATAGAGTATAGTTATGGTCTCTGTGTCTCTGGCCAGCCAGGCTGTCTCCTGTCTATTGTTGCTCCCTGGTAAGTTGTCATCCTCAGTCACCGTGTTGTTCATGAATCAGCCCTGTGGTCATTGGGTCAAGCCTGGCAGAACAGATCACTGGCCAGTGGTGTGACTCAGTGCTTCATGAACATATTTCTCTAGCCTCGCCTAGTCTGACCTGGACTGGACGAAACCCCTCTGTCAGCACAAGCCCACCGCAACCACTGGTTCTATCTGCTGTCTTTAAGGTCACTGGCCCTTTAAATGCTTGAAACTATAAAGCATCTTTACTGGTGTGTTTTCCAGCTCTGGCTGCTCTATAGAAAGAGAAAGGCTGTGGCAGGAGAGCCACAGGAAGGAACTCACTTCCATACATCCAGCACAGGAGGCTTAGGGTTCGTTCCAGTGAGAAATAAATGTTTGACAGCAGAGTTCAGTGGTACTGCGGCTTCTAAAGGTCTCTGTAACTCTGGCTGGAGTCAGAGACCAGAGTTTTGTAAAGTAATCAATATAGAATGAGAGGAGTGACTGAATAATAGCAGAGCAGCTGAAGGCTATCACAATAACATTTGAGTGGCTTTAAGACATGGCTTCAACCAAACCAGACACAGGATCAAGGGAAACACAGGCTTTTTATTGCAGACAGTTAAACCAGTTTGTCTCTTTCAAAACAACTCCTCCATCATGCCAACTGCCATGTGTTCTAAAGAGGGATGGATGGAGCCCACTTAGGCCTGATAGACCCACAGCAATGGCTTCCATGCCACCTGCAAAACGAATCACGCACATGCATGCACGCACACACACACGCAGGTGCGTACACACACACTATATGGAATCATTTGTCTTCCTTGCTTTTGGGCAGTGTTCCAGTGTTGTTTGAGATAATGGAGCAAGTTTAAGCTAAAGTGTTTCATGGTTGTAATTTCACAGGGCTGCTTCCATATGGATCTCTGGCCCTGAATTTATATACTGACAACTCACCTAAACTGCACTCAACCCTCTCTCCCCTGGACTCCTCTGGTTTTCCCACCCCGCTCCCTATCTTCCAACATCCTTTAATCTCCCCTCCCTCCCCCATCCTTCCCTCCCTCCCCCATCCTCCACCTGCCACCCTAGTCTGCCATGGCATCAGGAGTGAGAGAGTTCAGTCAAAAATCTGCTGTGGACTCAGAAATGTTCTGCCAAATGGTCAATAACCAAACAGTCAGCCAAATCCACATAGATGGCTTTTAGTCAGTGCCTGGGTGGAGTCATTCAGTGATGTAGTGTATTACTGGACTCTGGCACTTCAGATGGACTCAGTATAAATTACTACAGTCAGTCCATTGTCTACTGGCTACGGCTTCCTATTCCCTATACAGTGCAGTGCAGGACTTTTGGCCAGAGCCCTACTGTATGATTTGTCCTATGCCTCTCCATATACTGTATCCTGCACCCAGTCCCCTTAACCAGAGTGATGATGACATGTCTGTACTCTGAGGATCGACTGTAAGGCCTGACTTCAGTGGAAATGCTGACACCATGTCCTTCTGACGGGGAGAGAGAGGTAAGAAAGGGGGTGGGGGAGAGAGGGAGGGAGGGGGGATAGGAAAGAAAGACTGTGTCTCTGTACCCAGAGTGTAGCCAACCCCCTCTTAGTTTGGTGGAACTATTCCAATGGATGACAGTCCATTCCATAAAAATGTGTAGGTTTTATTGTCACACACCGGATAAGTGTAGTGCATTGCACTAAATGCATCTGAATATGTTATATTGTAGTTTGTCAGTGCTGTTTAATAAATTGAACTCTTCTGTCAATTTATGGTTGTAAGGATGGTGGAGTTAGCACAGCTTTCTGTGTTGGTCCAGGCTAAAAGGTTCCTGTGTAAGAATGCTCCAGGGTTAGACCACTGAAACACTCAGCTGGAGAGCTTTCATTCTGTACCCCTAGTTCACCCCAGTGTGTGTGTGTTTCTCTTCTTTAGTTTCTGTTCTAACTCACAACAATCCCTGTGGCTTCGCTGGGTTTATATGATCGTTCAGTGCTTTCAGAGACATCCCTTTCTCCCCTCTTCCTCTCTCTCTCCCTTCCCATCAATACCTTCCTCCCTCTGATTCTCTCTCTTGTTCTCGTCCTCTTTTTCCCTACCTCCCTTTTCCCCAGAGTCCCTCTCAGTCCTTCTCAATCCCTCTCTGTATGTATTTGTGTGTGTGTTGATTTTAGGGATTTAACTTTGCATGCAGTTGTGAGAATACATGTGGTTAAATATTGTGATGTGATATGATATGTGGTGATGTGATGATCTGTTGTGTTGTTGTATTGGGAGACAGGCAGTACCCCGTATGTGGTGATGTGATGATCTGTTGTGTTGTTGTATTGGGAGACAGGCAGTACCCCGTCAAAGCAGTACCCCGTCAAAGCAGTACCCCGTCAAAGCAGTACCCCGTCAAAGCAGTACCCCGTCAAAGCAGTACCCCGTCTGCTTACACGTCCCATATTCCACAGACACACAGTTACACACAAGCACACACACACACAAACACACACATGTACATTGATGAACTACCATGCTCTCACCCCACACATCTTACTGAGTTTATTAGAAACACACATGAAGTATTTACAGAGGTGGGGCCTGATGAAAGACAGATAACTACACTGGTCTGGCTTGAACGCATGTATGCACAAACACACACACACACACAAACACACACATACACACAGTCTCCCGCAGTAACACAGCCATAATGCAGCTATACAGTTTCTACATTCCTAAATACGCTGGGTCAATAATTGTGTTCAATTGGCCAGTGTTCTACAGGGGAAAGATGTGCACTATGGGTGTGAGAATACAACGCAGTCAGCCACAGGAAATCCTTCAAAGCAAATTACGGTGTCTAAGCAGCCTCAGCCACATCTCTAGTTCTTCCCTTTCTTCGTTTTTATAGCTTTAGCACATAGTACAACCACTATGGTCAAACCACATTTAAATCCACTCAACGCTAAGTGCTGATGCTTCAGAATGTAAATAAAAAAATTACAGTTCTGTTTCTATCCCCCCCCCCTCTCTTCTTGGTCCCCACATATGCTATTGCTAATCAGCCAGTGATTTCTTTATGCAGCGATCCCCTCCTCCTCTTCTCTCCATAACCCCCAGATATCAAAGCCCTGTCAGCGACCATGATGTCATCAGGAACTGTGTCCAATAGGTAACATCCTGGAAATAGTCAATGGAAAAAGTTTCCTGTAGGGGTTCCCTATGGGCCACTTCTACCTACTACCCCATGCCTGTCTCTGTCTTTGTGTGAGTATTTGTGTTTGTGTGTTTGTGTACGTGTGTGTGTGTGTGTGTGTGTGTGTGTGTGTGTGTGTGTGTGTGTGTGTGTGTGTGTGTGTGTGTGTGTGTGTGCGCGTGTGTGTGTGCGTGTGGGTGTGTGTGTGTGCGTGTGTGCACATGCATGCATGTGTGTGTGTGAGTGTGTTCAACCCTGTTTCTATCATGAATGACCACAGGTTTGAGAGGGAAGGACAGAGCAGGAGAAACATAAAGACATTGAGAGATGGAAAGGTTGAGAGAGAGGTTCTGGGTCGTGGGTTGTGTTTCTGGGAATCAGTGCATAACAACATCTGCAGGGGGGTCACTATATGGGGAGAAGGGGAGAGTGGGTGGCCACTTGTCAGTAACAATAACCCATGTGAAGATGAACCAACTGAACAGAGAGGGTTGGTAGGACTGCTCTGTCTACTAGTTGAAGCCTTTACCAGCAGTTTGAGAGGATGTCACACAATATAATATTCTCACAAAAAAATCAGATTGATTCCAGGTGGGTGGATGAGACTGGAGGAGATTGAAAATGGGAGGGAGCGGTGGAGAGGTGTGATGGAGTGACAGTGAGGACAGGGGAGGGTCTGAGATGAGGAGAGGAAGTAGGATGAGGATACAGGCATGTCAAACGAAAGACAGACCGGCTGATGACATCTAGCAGAGACGAGCCTGGGTCAAAAAGAGGAGAGAGAGGGGGAGAGAGGGAGCGGGATGGATTTTTCTCTTCTTACCTCTTCCTCTCTCTTCCTTTGGGTCTTTCTTTTGTTTGGTCTTCCTTTCGGCCTGTCTTTCTATGTATCTGTCTCTATAACTCTCCATGTTTCTCTATGAGTGATTTAGGGTCGGCGCACACCTGTTTGGGAGTGATAATGGGAGAACTAGAATTATTGTAACTTTGGACTTAACTGTCTCCTCTCCTGACTGTAATGGCTCCTCTACTGACTGTACTCTCTCCTCTCCTCTCCTGACTGTACTTTCTCCTCTCCTGACTGAACTGTCTCCTCTCCTCTCCTGACTGTACTTTCTCCTCTCCTGACTGCACTGTCTCCTCTACTGACTGTACTGTCTCCTCTCCTGACTGTACTTTCTCCTCTACTGACTGTACTGTCTCCTCTCCTGACTGTACTCTCTCCTCTCCTTCCTGACTGTACTTCTCCTCTCCTGACTGAACTGTTTCCTCTCCTTTCCTGACTGTACTGTCTCCTCACTCTCCTGACTGTACCTTCTCCTCTCCTGACTGTACTCTCTCCTCTCCTCTCCTGACTGTACTTTCTCCTCTCCTGACTGAACTGTTTCCTCTCCTTTCCTGACTGTACTGGCTCCTCACCTCTCCTGACTGTACCTTCTCCTCTCCTGACTGTACTGTCGCCTCTCCTGACTGTACCCTCTCCTCTCCTCTCCTGACTGTACCCACTCCTCTCCTGACTGTACTGTCTCCTCTCCTGACTGTACCCTCTCCTCTCCTCTCCTGACTGTACCCACTCCTCTCCTGACTGTACTGTCGCCTCTCCTGACTGTACTGTATCCTCTCCTGACTGTACTGTCGCCTCTCCTGACTGTACTGTATCCTCTCCTGACTGTACTGTCTCCTCTCCTGACTGTACTGTATCCTCTCCTGACTGTACTGTCGCCTCTCCTCTCCTGACCGTACTGTCTCCTCTCGTGACTGTACTGTTTCCTCTCCTGACTGTACTGTCTCCTCTCCTCTCCTGACCGTACTGTCTCCTCTCGTGACTGTACTGTCTCCTCTCCTGACTGTACTGTCTCCTCTCCTGACTGTACTGTCTCCTCTCCTGACTGTACTTTCTCCTCTCCTGACTGTACTGTCTCCTCTCCTGACTGTACCTGCTCCTCTCCTGACTGTACTGTGTCCTCTACTGACTGTACTGTGTCCTCTCCTGACTGTACTTTCTCCTCTCCTGACTGTACCTGCTCCTCTACTGAATGTACTGTGTCCTCTCCTGACTACTCCTCCTCTCCTGACAGTACTGTCTCCTCTCCTGACTGTACTGTCTCCTCTCCTCTACTGACTGTACTGGCTCCTCTCCTCTCCTGACTGTACTGACTCCTCTCCTGACTACTGTCTCCTCTCCTGACTGTACTGTCTCCTCTCCTGACTGTACTGTGTCCTCTACTGACTGTACAGTGTCCTCTCCTGACTGTACTGTCTCCTCTCCTGACTGTACTGGCTCCTCTCCTGACTGTACTGGCTCCTCTCCTCTCCTGACTGTACTGGCCCCTCTCCTCTCCTGACTGTACTGGCTCCTCTCCTGACAGTACTGTCTCCTCTCCTGACTGTACTGGCTCCTCTCCTCTCCTGACTGTACTGGCTCCTCTCCTCTTCTTTCCTCTCCTCTCCAAGCAGGTTAAACAGTAGCTACTTATTCATCAGGAGTTCCTATAAGGTTATGGTCCCCTGCCTTAATATTATTCCTGGGGCTGGATGTCTTCACATGGGATCTGCTTCAGAAACGGTAGATTAATTGAATTGATAGGTAACATAAACATGGCCGCTGAGCAGATTCCACAGGGAAGCCAAGCCAACCAAGGCTCTGCCCCAGGCCCAAATAGAATCTCCCTGAGAAGGGAGAGGTTACTGTCTCTGAGAGTGGAGAGGTGACTATGGGTTACTGTCTCTGAGAGTGGAGAGGTGACTATGGATTACTGTCTCTGAGAGTGGAGAAGGGTCTATGTGTTACTGTCTCTGCCAAACCAGCTGTTCACAGGGAAATCATAACTTAGATTATGGGGTTGAGATGGTCCATATGTTTTTGCAGTAAATAAAATATGTTGGTTCCTCACCACATTTTTGAAGAGATCTATAGTGTCGTAAATGTCATACATGATTATGAAATGCACATTTAGATCAATAGATATTTTAAGTTGTTCAGTGGTAATGTCAGAGATGTGCACTATTACATCTGTAATCCAGTATTATAGTGAAAAAGCTGTAGGCTGTATCTAGTAACCTCGGCCCTCTGTCCAGGGGGGAAGTTTCTCCAGTTGTCTCCAGATGTTTCTATGGAGCTGAGGGGACGACAGTGATACAGTAATAACTAGCAGAGCCATGACACACACACACACACACTCACATGCACGGTAATAATACAGTAATAACTCCCAGAGCCTTGACTGTATCGGTTCTATCTGCCTGTCCAACTGTAACGCCCCACCCCTGCCTGACCCACATACTAAACTATCCCTGTGTGTGTGTGTGTGTGTGTCTATGTCCTCATCCTACAGCCCAGTCACATACCTAACCCTCTTCAACTAAACCCAACTAATCCCCTAACTAACCCATCTCCCCTTAAACTAACCCATCTCCTCCTAACTAACCTATTTCCTCCTAAACTAACCCATCTTCTCCTAACTAATCCATCTCCTAAACTAATCCACCTCCTCCTAAACTAACCCATCTCCTACTAACTAACCCATCTCTTTCAAAATGAACCCATCTTCTCCTAACTAACCCATCTCCTCCTACACTAACCCATCTCCTCCCAAACTAACCCATCTACTCTCTTAGCTAACCCATCTCTTCCTAAATGAACCCATCTCCTCCTAAACTAACCCATCTCCTCCTGACTAACCCATCTCCTCCTAAACTAACCAATTTCCTCCTAACTAACCCATCTACTCCTAAACTAACCCATTTCCTCCTAACTAACCCATCTCTTCCTAAACTAAGTGTTAGAGGTTTAGATGGTGGAGATGGTGTTGTCTTCTCCTGGCCCATTCAGTGAGAACCCAGTGTGCTGCTCTCCCCATACCAGAACAACAGCAGAACCCTCCTTATAGAAGGCCCAGGTGTTGTGAAACATCCTCATGTTTTGATGTAGAATAATGCAACCCGGCTGTCTTATATTGCACGTATATGATACATCCTAGATTTTATATAACATTTCACAGACACACATGCACACACACACGCACACACACACACAGGTGCGCAAGCATGCACACAGACATTCGCTCACATGGACGCACGCACCACACTCCACACAGTCCAGCACTGGGAGACATCAGGGTCAGGGAGGGTCCGGAATCATCCACCTCAATCAGACACAAGGAGAAGCAGGACCAGGTCTCACTGTGTGCGTGTGTGTTTTCCCTAAATCCCCCCACTCCACCACCTCCAACCCTCTCACTCCTCTGTTTTGGTATCAGTGCTATATGGGATTCAATAGACTTTGGTATGTTTGGATTGTTTCAGTCATCGTCTGGGTTCCCATGGTGACTGAGTCAAGTCTAGTGGACCGACTGTCTGAAACCACTTGCTGACTGAAATTATCAAAACTGATGAAAAACTTTCATCCACCTGGATTGATTTGGTTACATCTACATTTGTCATGTCTACAGACCCTTCCCATCAAATATGTAGATAAGTGTAACATATTGTCTATAGGTGAAACAGCATTGCACTGGTATTATAATGCAGCTGCAATGTCCTGTGAGAGGAACACAGATAGCGATTTTTGATAAAGATTTTAGACTGTTTGAAATAAAGAAAATATCTCTATAATACCGGTGTAATGGAGTTAATACATGTCTAATAAGAGAGTAATGGAGTTGGAATAGGAAGCAACTGTGTTTTGGAAAATGGGCTCCCAGGGAAGCGTTGGTGTGATGATGTCACAAGCACGACTTATCTGTCCTTAAGACCCATTTCCTGTTTTTTCTGCTGAGAGTCATGGGATACAAAGCCTGATGTTCCCAAACAAACCCACTGTTTCTGTCCCCCCCCAGGACACACACAAACACATACACACAAACACACACACACCCAACAGACCACGCTTTGATGAGCGTAAAATAAAGCAGTTGAAAATAAAGCATAATTTAAAAAAGGCTAGTGAGAGATTAGATATACAGTACATCTCTCTCTTTATGACTAGAAGCACAACATAACAACTTTACATCACAGTCTTTACAAGACAAATAATTTAAATGAAATGAAAACACAAAAGGAGCGTTTATAAAAACATGAATGATATCAGCTTTCACATGGATATTACACATGCTTGATGTGACACTGGAGCCACACACAAATCTTTGCTACTGTATATTAAACATATGTAATTACTACAAATACCATCTTCAAAGACTTGGCATCTGTTGTGTTTATTTGACATGATCTGGGATGTATGTACAGCCTATGGCTGGAGGAGTGGTCGAGCCTGCAGGGTTGGAGAGCTGCAGACACAGAGAGCTGCAGACACAGAGAGCTGCAGACACAGAGAGCTGCAGACACAGAGCGCTGCAGACACAGAGCGCTGCAGAAACAGAGCACTGCAGACTCCTGTGGCTCCACAGAACTATCACTGGAGGAGTTCTGTGACCACTGTCATACATTTGCTCTGCTCATCAATACACAACTATACAGCAAGATAAATTAGGCCGCTTTAAGATATTATGGAGGTAAAGGTTCACATAAACATACAGGTTGTAATACAGAGCTGAATATGTTGTATTGCATGATGTGTATTTCAACAGCTGATGTTATTACTGCCTGATATAGTATGTGTTGACACTGTTATTTATTACTGATGGATGCTGGTGCTTCTCAGAGCTGCTGATTGCTTTTCCAACTTTAACACACTCTGGCTATAAGATGCATGTGTTTTTTAAATTCTCTATTTACAACCTTTTATCAACACTTCAGTCTTTAGTTTAACAGTATTTTCTGCACTCAACTTTGCAGTTTCTTTGGGCAAAAATGATGTGTGTGTGTGTGTGTGTGTGTTCTGTTAGATCACATGTAGATAAGTGGCCTTGGTGTCGGCTCCAATGACGTTCCATGCAGAACAACGGTAGAACCCTGTGTCTCTGCTGGTCGGGTTCTGGATCACCAGGGAACCCTGGGGACTCAGGTACCGGTTGCCATAGAGACGGGCCTGACCTGTGACCCTGAGCTGGGATTGGTCTGGCATCTCCCAGGTGATGGTCGCTCGGGGGGTTGCTATGACGTAGCAGGTTAGCTGAACGGCAACCCCGGGACGGGTGTAGGTGAGGGGAGGGGGGCCGTTGGTGATGCGAGGGGGGTAGGCGATGACAATCACTGGAACTGTCAGGATAGACGACGTGTCCTGATTGGTGGATTGGCAGGAGTAGGTCCCCCTGTCGAACACAGACACCTTCTGCACCGTCAGAGTCCCGTCATCCAGGACTGAGTACCGACCCGTCCCTGCTGTCTGGCCCCGAGACACGACCACCCCGCTGGGCAACTTCCAGGTCAGAGACTGTGTCTGGCTGGAGCCCTGACTGGGGCTGTCTGTCTGGGGGCAGGGTAGCTGTAGATTTTCTCCGTTGATGATGCTGACCAGAGAGCCTGATATATTGGTGACCACAGGCTTCCTTTCCAGGACGACACTCCTTCCTGCCTCTGGCACTGGGCCTCTGGGGCGAGGTTTCTCAGTGGTGACTGGACCTGTGGGGCGAGGTGTCTCCTGGCGAGATTTCTCTGTGGTCACTGGGCCTCTGGGGCTTGGTGTCTCCTCTGTGTCTGGGCCTCCTGTGCGAAGTTGCTCTGTGCTGACTGGGCCTACAGGGCAAGGTTTCTCGGTGGTCACTGAGCCTCTGGAGTGAGGTGTGTCCTTTGTGTCTGAGACCTCCAGGTGTACCATTATCCGAGCCTCGCCCCTCTCACTGCGATTGACACACACCAACATGCCGGCGTCGCTTGCCCTCACCCCCCTCAGCTCCAGGGTTCCATTGCGGTGCACGGTGAGTCTGCTGCCATAGTAGGGCACCGGGAGAACCCCGTTACCGGGCAGCAACCAGGCCAGGCGGGGTGGAGGGAAGCCCTGGGATGGACATGGCAGAAGAACTGTCTGGCCTCTAACTGCTGAGACCCTTTGGTCCCCTACATTCCTGTCTCCATTATTATTGACACAATTACCTGCACTGACCCTATGATCCCTCCCTGCAGACTGACTGATGGAGATCACAGCACTGAGTCCACTACCACTAACAACAGCTGTCTGTCTGTCTGCCCCATTGATCCCACCCCCAGCCCCATTCAGAGTAAAGCTGGGTGGGGTCACCATCACCTCCACCCCCATCACCTTGCTCCTCTCCCCAGCAGCGTTGCTGGCTCGGCAGGTGTAATTTCCTCCGTCAGCCCCTCTAGCCCCCTGGATCACCAAGGACCCATCTTGCCGCACCCCAACCGGACCTGATCCTTCCACTGGGAGGACACGATTCATTGGAGAGAGCCATGTGATCGTAGGGACGGGCTGTCCTTTGGCCCCACAGTTCAGAGCCACCTGGCCCCCTTGTTGCACCTTGATTACCTCATATTTGGTGCTGGGGAAGGAGGGGGGTGAGGTGAGGACTTTGACCATCACCCTCATAGTGTCCCTACCCCCATGGTTCTCAGCATGGCAGACATACTCCCCCTCCTGCCCCATCTCCACTGAGGGGAGGAACAGTGTTCCATTGTCAAACACCACCAGTCGCCGACTGCGCCCCCTTCTCTCTTCCACCTGCAACAGGACACTTTTCACTGAGGTTCCATTCGGCAGGCTCCATCTTACCGCGGGGTCGGGCTGGCCGGTCGCCAGACAGTCTACCTTTAGAGCTGCTCCATACGATACCACCTTCTGATTGGATGGCTGCTTTGGCTTAATCTTAGCAGGCTTTGTGACCACGGTGACCTGGAGGATGCGGTAGTCGTCAGCCATCTTATTTCGCGCAACACATAAATAGCCCCCCCCGTCTTTCTCCGTCACGGACTGGATATACAGGGTTCCATTACTGTGCACCTTCATCCGCTTGTCAAAACTGTAAATACAACCCAGAGAGGATAAGGTTAGATAAGCACAAGACACAGAAACTGAGTGTACAAAACATTAGGAACAACTGCTCTTTCCATGACAGTAGCTAGGTTTCCATCCAATTGGCGACAGATTTTCATGCAAATATTCTAGAATCCGCATAAAGAAAATATGTACATTTTCCCAGCAGTGGCATGTTTCCACCAAATGGACTTGTTGCGGATAAAAATCAGTGCGTGATGACAGTGCACACAAAATATACTTTTCCGCTTAAGTTTTCATGTACCGAATAACAATCTAAAGTTCAATGTGTTTCCATCGCATTTTCAACTCTACCGATAGTTTTGTCAGAAAAACAGATCAGTAATCAATATGGACAAACACACACCTGTAGTGGGCATCCACTAGTTTCTTGCCAGGTGTCCTCCAGACCACTCTAGGCTCTGGGTTGCCGGTTGCTGAACAGTGAAGGAGCAGAGATTCACCATATATGACTATAGAACTGGATGGAGAGGTGGAGAGAATCCTAGCCTTACTGAGGGGGGAGGAGGGTGGGAGGGGAGGGTTAAGGACAGGGGAGGAGGGGGGAAGCTCAAAGTTACTGTTAATGGAAGAGAAGGTCATTTTATCCGTGGAGCCAATTTCTCCTCCTCCTACTCCTCCATCTCCAGTCACCTCCACCCTCACCGTCCTCTTATCCCCACCCACCGCATTAGTCGCCAGGCACTCGTAGCTCCCAGAGTCCTTAGTGGCCAGCTTGCGTATCAGCAAGGTGGCATTGGGGAGGACAAACAGGTTCCCGTTGAGGAATTGAGATGGGAGCAGAAGGGTGCCGTCAGGGGTCCTCCAGCGGATGGAGGGAGCGGGGGCTCCCCGGGCAGAGCATTGGGCGTAGAGAGGCATACCAGCGGGCCGGGTTATCCTCTCCTCTCTGGGCTGCTGGATGGCTGGAGGCAGGGAGGACACATGGAGTCGGACTGACAGACTGCCAGCCCCTGATGGGTTGGAGGCTACACAGCGATACAGTCCTCTGTCTGCTGGGCCGGCCACCAAGATACGCAGAGTACCATTAGGGAATATAGACACCCGGGAGTGAGGGCCAAGGGCAGGGTTGGGGTTAGGGTCGGGGGTTAGGACGGAGCGGTCAGGTAGCACCCAGGACAGCAGAGGGACCGGCACCCCCTGAGCCCGACACTCCAACCTCACCTCACCCCCCTGGTGCACCGTTGCATCTCTGTGGTTGGGTAGCTGAATGTGGGGTGGGCGGGACCAGACCTCCAGGGTCACCATGGCACGGTCCAGGCCCACAGAGTTCTGTGCGCTGCAGATATATGTCCCCCGGTCCTGGACCTGCACACTCCGGATGAGAAAGGTTCCGTTGGGTAGGACCTGGAAACGCTCTGCCTTGGAGTCCAGTGACATCACAGCTCCTAGGACAGACAGAAATACATATTGAGTGGCGTATTGTGTGTATGTGAGTGACAGTAGTGAGTGTATTGAGTAACGTGTGTATGACAAAGTACATATTGTGTGTATGTGAGTGACAGTAGTGAGTGTATTGAGTAACGTGTGTGTATGACAAAGTACATATTGTGTGTAAGAGTGACAGTAGTGAGTGTATTGAGTAACGTGTGTGTATGACAAAGTACATATTGTGTGTATGTGAGTGACAGTAGCATGTATTGTGTGTATAACTGAGAGTAGAGTGTATAGCGTACCTGTGGAGACCTTGGTCCAGGTGATTGTTGGAGGAGGCTGTCCAATGGCCTCGCAGGGCAGGAGGGCATCAATCTCAGCTGGGACAGACATGGGGCGCATGTGAGGGGGAGCGATACGGGGCCGGACACGCAAGACGGAGGTCTGAGGGGGGCGTTGGGCAGTCATACTACGGTCTGGAGACGCCGGAAGGGAATGAGGAGGGGTGGAGGCAGGGTTGAGCCCAGCCTGAGTGCCTGTGGTGGGTGGGGAGGCCTTTGGGGGGCTGGAGGGAGCTCTGTTGGTGGGGACTGCAGAGGAAGGGGTCTCTAAAACATCTGGGAGAAGAAGTTTTGGCTTGACAGGGTGTGGTAGAGAGGGTGCGTGTTTTATAGGGGGTGGAGTTTGAAGTGGAGTTCTGACTGGGTCAGGCCTAGTGATGACATAGGGGTGCCGGCTGCTGGAGTGTTGTGAGTAGGTGGGGTAAGATGGGGGGCGGTAGCGACTACCATGTGAGTCTGAGATGGAGTTTACTCTTGGTTTCCTCCAGACTGTTGTACTAGTAGGAGTGGTAGTAGTAGTGGGAATAGTAGTAGGAATAGTAGTAGTAGTAGTAGTAGTAGTAGTAGTAGTAGTAGTAGTTGTAGAAATAGTAGTTGTAGGTATAGTAGTAGTAGTTGTAGAAATAGTGGTAGTAGTTGTAGGAATAGTAGTGGTAGTTGTAGAAACAGTTGTTGTAGGAATAGTGGCAGTAGTTGTAGGAATAGCGGTAGCAGTTGTAGGACTAGTGGTAGTAGTTGTAGTTGTAGGAATAGTTATAGTGGTAGTTCTTCTAATAAAGGTGATGACTGTAGAGGAGGTGATGGCTGAAGCAGTGGTAGCTGCTGTATTAGCTGTAGTTGGGGGCAGTAGTTGTTTTGTAGATGAAAAAGAGCTGTCTATGTCTGACTCTGGCTGTCTCTCCTCTGGTTCATCAGGTGCTAGATAGACTGGTTCTATCTCACTGGGTTCTTCCTCAGTGATTGGGTAGAGTGGTTCTATCTCACTGGGTTCTTCATCAGATGCTGATGGTTCTATTTCACTGGGTTCTTCTTCAGTGGCTGCTGGTTCTATCTCATTGGGTTCTTCATCACTTGCTGGTGGTTCTATCTCACTGGGTTCTTCATCAGTTGCTGGTGGTTCTATCTCACTGGGTTCTTCTTCATCAGTTGCTAGTGGTTCTATCTCACTGGGTTCTTCTTCATCAGTTGCTGGTGGTTCTATCTCATTGGGTTCTTCATCAGTTGCTAGTGGTTCTATCGCACTGGGTTCTTCATCAGTTGCTAGTGGTTCTATCTCACTGGGTTCTTCATCCATGGCTGGTGGTTCTATCTCACTGGGTTCTTCCTCAGTGGCTGGGTAGACTGGTTCTATCTCACTGGGTTCTTTCTCAGTGCCAGTAGGTGTTGTTCTGCCTGGTGTGGTTGTTCTAGACTGAGGGGGAGTTGCTTTGACACCCTCTATTACACTGGGTTCTTCATCAGTGGTTGGGTAGAGTGGTTCTATCTCACTGGGATCCTCATCAGTTGCTGGTGGTTCTATCCCACTGGGTTCTTCATCAGTTGCTGGTGGTTCTATCCCACTGGGTTCTTCATCAGTTGCTGGTGGTTCTATCTCACTTTGTTCTTCTTCATCAGTTGCTGGTGGTTCTATCTCACTGGGTTCTTCTTCAGAGGCTGGTGGTTCTATCTCACTGGGTTCTTCTTCATCAGTTGCTGGTGGTTCTATCTCACTGGGATCTTCTTCATCAGTTGCTGGTGGTTCTATCTCACTGGGTTCTTCTTCATCAGTTGCTGGTGGTTCTATCTCACTGAGTTCTTCCTCAGTTTCTGGGTAGAGTGGTTCTATTTCACTGGATTCTATCTCACTGGGTTCTTTCTCAGTACCAGTAGGTGTTGTTCCACCTGGTGTGGTTCCAGACCGAGGGGATGTTGCTTTGACATCCTCTGGGTTGTGTTGGTTGAAGACAGATGGATCCTGCTCTTTTGGAGTGGCCCCGACCTGACCCTCTGTTTCAGCATAACTCTGTTTTTCTGTGTGACTGTGAGTAACTGTGGGTGTATGTTTGCCTGTGTGTGTGATAGTCGTTTGGGACCTGTCAGGGAGCCGAGCAGCAGTGTTTGCTGAGTGAGTCACCCTGTCTGTGTGTGTCTGGGGCAAAGGGGGCAAGGCAGGAAGGGAGGCAGGGGGGGAGACAGATGTGCTTGATGGAGCAGTGATCCTAGTAGAGGATGGAGTAGTAGTTGTAGTTGTAATAGTGCTTATAGTAATGGTAGTAGTAGCTACTGGCAGTTCGCTGGGCTTTGTAAGTGCTGCTCTGGTGGTAGTGGGACTTAGGGTATTCTGGCGAGGGGAGGTTGGACCTGGGGTGCTCTGGCGGGGCGTGGGTCGTCCTCTGGGTCTGTTGATGCGTCTCCTCTGGCCAGGCCTATTGCTGGCATTCCAGGGGCTTCTGGGTCGTGACGGATCAGAATTGGAGAATATTACCTTTCCAGAGTTTGGTGTTCCAGTCCTCTCCCCCTCACCTGTGGTCCTTACAGGAGTAACACTCTGTCTCCTTTCCTCTGTGCTAATGTCATTGACATTGTAGGTTGGCTTTGTGCTTTTAGGAGAACTCTCTGTCTCTGTTTCTGTCCCTGTCTCTGTTTCTGTGTTTGACTGAGGGGTCTGAGGGAAGTTATTGCTCGGATCTGCAGTGTTTGGTGTCTCTGGGGCCACTCTATCCTTTGTTAGCAGGTCTGGGAATAGTGATGTGTGGACGGCGTTTAACCCCTCTTCCTGTAGACTGGGGACATCTATGGAAGAACTCTTTGAGGAATCAGCCTCTGAGTCCAATACAGGACGTTGATCTGAGTTTCTTCCCACTGTTACCTCTGGTGTGCTGTTTGGTAGTGTGGTGTCTGGCTGTATTCTGGTTGTCTGTGTTTTAGTTGTCTGTATTCTCTCGGTCTGTATTCTGTCTGGCTGTGTGCTGCCTGGCTGTGTGCTGCCTGGCTTTCTTCTGGTTGTCTGTGTACTTTCTGGCTGTGTGCTGCCTGGATTTGTTCTGGTTGTCTGCGTTCTGGTTGTGTCATTGCTTTCTTTATGTCTGCTATCTGTCTGTATTCTGGTTGACTGTGCTCTAGTTGGGGTTGAGGTGGTTGTCTGTGCTTCAGTTGGGGATGAGGTGGTTGTCTGTGCTTCAGTTGGGGATGAGGTGGTTGTCTGTGCTTCAGTTGGGGTTGAGGTGGTTGTCTGTGCTTCAGTTGGGGTGGTTGTCTGTGCTTCAGTTGGGGCTGAGGTGATAGTATGTGATCTCGTTGGGGGTGGTACATACAGGGAGTCTTTAGGGGCAGTCCTTTCACGTATCTTAGCCAGCAGGTCGGCCCATTTCTGAGGGTCTATCTTGTGCTTGGCCAGGTTAAAGCTCCGCCGGCCCTCCAGCCTGTTCCTCCTCTGCTCCACAGGGAAGCCTCTCCTCAAGGGCCTCTTGCCCTTTTGGGGTGGTCTGCTTCCCTCCATCCTCACCGTGTGGGATCTGATGGGGGGGCGCCGTGTCCTGTTGTAACCTGCCCTGGTGGGCAGCATGTTCTCCTCCTCCCCCTCGTCATCTCCTGACCCCCCCTCTTCAACCTCCTCACTCAAAGGGGCTGGTACCCTGTTGGACACCCCCAACGCAGATTGTGGCCTCATGGGATATCTCATGCGTGATGAGGTGTCAGAAGGATGCGGGATGAGCGTCAGTCTGGTGGAGAGAGAGTCAACACCGTGCAGGTTCACCGCTACACACCGGTACAGGCCTGCGTCTCCCAGCGCAGGGAGGGGGAGAGACAGGGTACCGTTGGCCAAGACATTCACCCCTGCCGCCCCCTTTCTCCTCCCCTTGTTCCTACTCCCTACCACTCTCCCGCCAGGAAGAACCCAGTTCACCTCAACCCTCGGTGTACCAGAGGCCTCGCACGGCAGACTGACAGGGTCTCCAACCAATCCAGTCACAGCAGGGCCAAGCTCCTCCCCTGGGGGAGGGTTGGATGATTCTACCACCGCCAGACGGAGGGGGAGAACATCAACATCTCCCCCCGCCCGGGCCACGCAGTAGTACAGTCCAGCATCAGAGTGATCCACTCTCTGCAGGACCAGCCCCTGGCCAGACACCCGGATCCTACCATCTGAGCTGCGGTAGGGAGAGGAGACTGTTGAACCATCTGGGAAAACCCATTGGAGCCTGGGGTCTCGAGAGCTTAGGTCTGCAATAGAGCTGAGGACAGGGCAGGGCAGGTGGATCTGGCTGTCTGCAGCTGCAGTAAAAGCTGTGTGGGTGTGGTTGGTCTGGATGAGGACCCAGGAGTGTGGGGATGGGGGGTCTGGGGGGGCAGATACCAGGGTGGACAGGGTCAGTTTAACCCTGTGGGCACTGGACTGAGCTCTGTTGAGCTCTAGACTGACATGGGGCTGCAGTAACCAGGCAGGCTGAGCTTGGAGATTGGCCTTGACCCCTGTATGGTAGTAGCCCTCCTTCTCTGCTGTCTGTCTGTACCTGAAGGACAAGAAAGGACAGATTTGATCTATGTGTTAGGGTTAAAACAAAATTGTACAGGTAAAGAGGATAATAACACAGGATTGTGTCTTGTGTGTTTATGTATTTTCATACCTGTAGGCAAGTCTTGGGGCTTTACTCAACATGATTTCTCTCTGAAGCCTGACAGGCGTCTCACTGTAGTAGGCCAGCAGCCTCCACAGCCTCTCATAGCTGTGCACATCCACCCCACAGTCCAGAGAGAGGGAGAGAGAGAGGGAGAGGGAGAGGGGGATGGAGGAGGAGGAAAGGTGTGGTGAGGTAATGTCAGGAGTCTGTGAGGAGTGTGTGATGTTACACTTCAGATCAACGGCATTCCCCTGTTGGTCGGACATCCCCAGGGAGGCATCGCCTAAAGCTTCTCTAAAAGTTTCTATTGGTTGAACTTCGCCATCCTCCTGAGATGAGGCTCTGGGATTGGTGGAGATTACAGGCGGGGTGCAGGATAGGTCTTTCTGCTGCAAAAGGCCACAACCCTTCATGTGTTTGGGTGAGGCACAGACCGGGCACTGCGGCCCCGGACATTTCAACACCCCTGAGAGAGAAGAGAAGAATCAGTATTTCCTCACCCAAATAAGCATCCCAATTCAATTGATTCTGATTGAGACTCAGTAGGTAGCAGTGGAGGCTCCTCAGAGGAGGAAGGGGAGGACCATCCTCCTCAGTGAATTCCATAAAAATTTAAAATTGTAAAACATTTAACATCAGTTTTAGATAAAACTATACTAAATATATTCACCTCACCAAATAATTGATTAAAACACACTGTTTTGCAATGAAGGTCTACAGTAGCCTCAACAGCACTCTGTAGGGTAGCACCATGGTGTAGCCGAAGGACAGCTAGCTTCCGTCCTCCTCTGGGTACATTGACTTCAGTACAAAACCTAGGAGGCTCAAGGTTCTCACCCCCTTCCATAGACTTAGACAGTAATTATGACAACTTCCAGAGGACGTCCTCCAACCTATCAGAACTCTTGCAGCATGAACTGACATGTTGTCCACCCAATCAAAGGATCAGAGAATGAATCTAGTACTGAAAGCATAAGCTACAGCTAGCTAGCACTGCAGTGCATAAAATGTGGTGAGTAGTTGACTCAAAGAGAGACAAAAACAATAGTTGAACAGTTTTGAACAAATGTATCTATTCCAAAATGAAGGAGAAGCAAGAGAGAGATAGAGAAATTTCGTATTTTTTTCACTTTCAGTTTCACTTCACTAATGCAGCTAGCTAGTTTAGCCTACTCCAACACCCTGCTCAAACAGAGGGATGCTATGTTAGCTAGCTGGCTATGACTATCCAACACAACACTGGAACTCTTCCAAGTCAAGGTAAGCTTTTGGTTTTACAAATGTATTGCCACTGGGGCCCACCGGTGTAAGTGCTAAACTGCTTACTGACTGTACACTGTAACGTTACTGCATGATTGTGGCGGGTTTACTAACACGTTAGTTCTATTAGCTATGTTGACTATGACGTTTCTTTAGGTAATATGGTGTCAACGATGTAGGCTGTGTGTAGCGGTTATGATATGGTTTGGCTTAGAAAGGTTTTTTCGCCTGGTCACATACAGCTGATGTGTTGTGCATTGAAGTCCACAAGCGAAGGGAAAAGGTGAGAGGAGGAGACCACATAGATGCGAGAAGAAATACAACGTGGCTGCTATGAAAGTGAACTGTGTTTACACGTGATCAGAGGTGTATTCATTCCACCGATTCTGTTGAAAAATGTTTCTTAAATGGAAGCAAATGGAACGAAACGGGGATAAACATATCTGAATTTGATTTGCATCTTTCCCTTTCATGAATACTCGATACGTATTGTCACGCCTACTCCGGCTCCCTCCCTCTGGCGTTTTGACTTCGCCGGTCTACTAACCACCAGTCCTGGCAACCCACATTTTGCACACCTGGCAACCGTCATTGCGCATGCCTGCTCCCCATCGTTACGCACACCTGGACTTCATCACCACCCTGATTACTCTCCCTTCATATAGCCCTCAGTAGCCTCTGTCATCAGGCAGTATTGGTTTTGGTGACGTTCAGTATGCTTCTCCTGTTTTTCATTATCTTCATGATGATGATGATGATTATTATTATTAAACTCACCTTCTGCACCTGCTTCCTGACTCCCTGCGTATACGTTACAAGTATCTAGATACATGGGCTCCGATACGGTACAGGAACGATACGTTTTATTTTCAAACGATTCAGTGTGATTCGGTTTGATTAGAGGAATGAATCGATGTGATTCAGATTGATGTGATACAGTTTGATGCACTAAAATTTCTTGCATAAACACATTCATTTTCCATTCTAAATTCAAATCTGCTGCTGATGGAAGTCATGAGCTGGGCCTCTGAGCTGGATCTGTTTGAGCTGACTTCTGTGTGTGTGTGTGTGTATAGACATTATGTGGATAGAATATTTAGTATATCTGTAGAATACATAGGATAGAATAGTATATATACAGCGTTAGTTGAATGGGATGGCATTGACTAGAATACAGTACATATGAAATGAGTAAAACAGTATGTAAACATTACCAGTGTTCCATTATTGAAAAAAGTATTTGATCCCCTGCTGATTTTGTACGTTTGCCCACTGACAAAGAAATGATCAGTCTATAATTTTAATGGTAGGTTTATTTGAACAGTGAGAGACAGAATAACAACAAAAAAATCCAGAAAAACGCATGTCAAAAATGTTATAAATTGATTTGCATTTTAATGAGGGAAATAAGTATTTGACTCCTCTGCAAAACATGACTTAGTACTTGGTGGCAAAACCCTTGTTGGGAATCACAGAGGTCAGACGTTTCTTGTAGTTGGCCACCAGGTTTGCACACATCTCAGGAGGGATTTTGTCCCACTCCTCTTTACAGATCTTCTCCAAGTCATTAAGGTTTCGAGGCTGACGTTTGGCAACTCGAACCTTCAGCTCCTTCCACAGATTTTCTATGGGATTAAGGTCTGGAGACTGGCTAGGCCACTCCAGGACCTTAATGTGCTTCTTCTTGAGCCACTCCTTTGTGGCCTTGGCCGTGTGTTTTGGGTCATTATCATGCTGGAATACCCATCCACGACCCATTTTCAATGCCCTGGCTGAGGGAAGGAGGTTCTCACCCAAGATGTGATGGTACATGGCCCCGTCCATCATCCCTTTAATGCAGTGAAGTTGTCCTGTCCCCTTAGCAGAAAAACACCCCCAAAGCATAATGTTTCCACCTCCATGTTTGACGGTGGGGATGGTGTTCTTGGGGTCATAGGCAGCATTCCTCCTCCTCCAAACACGGCGAGTTGAGTTGATGCCAAAGAGCTTGATTTTGGTCTCATCTGACCACAACACTTTCACCCAGTTCTCCTCTGAATCATTCAGATGTTCATTGGCAAACTTCAGACGGGCCTGTATATGTGCTTTCTTGAGCAGGGGGACCTTGCGGGCGCTGCAGGATTTCAGTCCTTCACGGCGTAGTGTGTTACCAATTGTTTTCTTGGTGACTATGGACCCAGCTGCCTTGAGATCATTGACAAGATCCTCCCGTGTAGTTCTGGGCTGATTCCTCACCGTTCTAATGATCATTGCAACTTCACGAGGTGAGATCTTGCATGGAGCCCCAGGCCGAGGGAGATTGACAGTTCTTTTGTGTTTCTTCCATTTACGAATAATCGCACCAACTGTTGTCACTTTCTCACCAAGCTGCTTGGCGATGGTCTTGTAGCCCATTCCAGCCTTGTGTATGGCTACAATCTTGTCCCTGACATCCTTGGAGAGCTCTTTGGTCTTGGCCATGGTGGAGAGTTTGGAATCTGATTGATTGATTGCTTCTGTGGACAGGTGTCTTTTATACAGGTAACAAGCTGAGATTAGGAGCACTCCCTTTAAGAGTGTGCTCCTAATCTCAGCTCGTTACCTGTATAAAAGACACCTGGGAGCCAGAAATCTTTCTGATTGAGAGGGGGTCAAATACTTATTTCCCTCATTAAAATGCAAATCAATTTATACAATTTTTGACATGCGTTTTTCTGGATTTTTTGTTTGTTATTCTGCCTACCATGAAAATTATAGACTGATCATTTCTTTGTCAGTGGGCAAACGTACAAAATCAGCAGGGGATCAAATACTTTTTTCCCTCACTGTATGTACAGCGGCTGTTGTTCTCAGGGCTGGGTGGGTGTGTCTCCTTTCTTTATCTCTCTCTCTCTCTCTCTCTCTCTCTCAGATACAGTGCACTCCACCAATCAGGCCTTTATGGTAGACGGACTCTCAGACCACGAGAAACAAGATTCTCTGGTCTGATGAAACCAAGATTGAACTCTTTGGCCTGAATGCCAAGCGTCACGTCTGGAGGAAACCTGGCACTATCCCTACTGTGAAGAATGGTGGTGGCAGCATCATGCTGTGGGGATGTTTTTCAGCGACAGGGACTGGAGACTAGTTAGGATCTCGGGAAAGATGAACAGAGCAAAGTACAGAGAGATCCTTGATGAAAACCTGCTCCAGAGAGCTCAGGACCTCAGACTGGGGCGAAGGTGACCTTCCAACAGGACAATGACCCTAAGCACACAGCCAAGGCAATGCAAGAGTGGCTTTGGGACAAGTCTCTGAATGTCCTTGAGTGGGCCAGCCAGAGCCCGGACTTGAACCCGACCGAACATCTCTTGAGAGACCTGAAAATAAATGTGCAGTGATGCTCCCCATCCAACCTGACAGAGCTTGAGAGGTTCTGCAGAGAAGAATGGGAGAAACGCCCCAAATACAGGGGTGCCAAGCTTGTAGCATTATCCCCAAGAAGAATCAAGGCTGTAATCGCTGCCAAAGGTGCTTCAACAAAGTACTGAGTAAAGGGTCTGAATACTTATGTAAATGTGATATTTCAGTTTATTTATTTTATTTATAAATTTGCAAAACATTCTAAAAAACTGTTTTTGCTTTGTCATTATGGGTATTGTGTGTAGATTGATGAGAAAAAAACAAAACAATTTAATCAATTTTCGAATAAGACTAACATAACAAAATGTGGAAAAAGTCAAGGGTTCTGAATACTTTCCGAATACACTGTATATGAGGTTACCACCAAAATGCTGCTGGAATTCATATTAGTGTATGACTGTCTGGCCTGCATGCTGTAATGGCATGATGTCAACAGAACAGAGCAGAGCAGTGGCAAAGAAAGTATGGGCTCATTTCCCTCTGAGGGGTTTCTGGGCATCGTCTGAATCAGTGGTTTGTGATAGTTCATATTGGGCATGGTCCGAATATGGGGTCAGGGCTGGGAGTCTGTCTGAGCTGACTTCTGTGTGTGTGTGTGTGTGTGTGTGTGTGTGTGTGTGTGTGTGCGTGTTTTCCAATTTGTAAGTCATCTGGATAAGAGCGTCTGCTAAATGATGTAAATGTAAATGGGTGCGTGCATGTGTGTGTGTGTGTGTAAATGATGTATATGTAAATGTAAATGCGTGCGTGCATGTGTGTAAATGATGTATATGTCTGTGGTGTATGTAGGCACCTTAGCTGTGCCCCCCACTTTTGATCTGAAATCACCATCACCCACTAAAGAGGGTAGTGCGTACGGCCCAGTACATCACTGGGGCCAAGCTTCCTGCCATCCAGGACCTCTATACCAGGCGGTGTCAGAGGAAGGCCCTCAAAATTGTCAAAGACTCCAGCCACCCTAGTCATAGACTGTTCTCTCTGCTACCGCACGGCAAGCGGTACCGGAGTGCCAAGTCTACAGCTTCTACCCCCAAGCCATAAGACTCCTGAACAGCTAATCATGGCTACCCGGACTATTTGCACTGCCCCCCCACCCCATCCTTTTTACGCTGCTGCTACTCTGTTAATTATTTATGCATAGTCACTTTAACTCTACCCACATGTACATATTACTTCAACTACCTCAACTAGCCGGTGCCCCCGCACATTGACTCTGCACCGGTACCCCCCTGTATATATAGCCTCCCTACTGTTATTTTATTTTACTTCTGCTCTTTTTTTCTCAACACTTTTTTTGTTGTTGTTTTATATTTATTAAAAATAAATGCACTGTTGGTTAAGGGCTGTAAGTAAGCATTTCACTGTAATGTCTGCACCTGTTGTATTCGGCGCATGTGACCAATACAATTGGATTTGATTTGATTTGATTTGTTAGGGTGGGATTACTTCTATATTTATTGAAGAGTATGTGAAACAGAGGAGGCTGGTGGGAGGAGCTATAGGATGAGGGGCTCATTGTAATGACTGGAATGGAATAAATGAAACGGAGTCAAACGTTTGATACCGTTCCATTAATTCCATTCCAACCATTACAATGAGCCCATCCTCCTATAGCTCCTCCCACCATCCTCCTCTGATATGAATCCTTTAAATTAAAATTGCGAATTTGGGTGCAATCAATTAGCTTAATTTCTCAGAGATCAAATTATATTTAAACAAAATAATGTTTCAGGAATGCTAATCTTCTCTTTCTAACAGAAATGATTTCAGAACAATCTGAGATGGTGGTTGTCGAAATCCTCTTTCTTGTGCTTTTTGAGGTGGAATGACTCAGTTGTCACAAAAGATGAGAGGTTTTTCGGAAGGTAGAAAGAAAGTAATTTGAGGCAAAAATGTTACAATTGGATCGGTTTGAGGCATAGCCGTGGGAAGTAGGGGTGCTGACGGTGCTGCAGCACCCACTAAGAAATCTGAATAAAAAAAAATATTAAAAAAATAAAAAGACTAAAGTAGTGCACTGGCTTTTACTAGTCCTATGTTAGCGGACCGATATAGCCATCTGTAGTGCGTCAATATAGCCGTCTGTAGCACCCCCATCCTCAAATATCTTCCCACAGCTATGGTTTGGGATCCCGCGGACTAATATGACTGGCGACCGATGCATATTGGTGAATGTTACATCCCTAAGACTCTGTGTAGGATTAGGGGTTAGTGTAGTGTGATAGTCACCTGGGTGAGAGATGCTCCAGGCCTGCAGCCAAGCCATGCTGCAGTCGCAGGTCCAGGGGTTGGCCTGCAGAGCCAGGGACTCCAGAAGAGGGGCAGTCCTCAGTGTGTCCCTAGGCAGGATAGTCAGACTGTTGTTGGACACATCCAGATGCCTTGGGAGAGGAGAGGGATAGTCCAGTCACAAATGACACCCTATTCCCTAAGTAGTGCACTACTCTAGTGCACTACTGTTAGGTGTGACCTAAGACTAAGAGTGAATAGATTAATAAATGCACAATTAAGGCAAAAGAAAACCCACCTGAGGGTGGAGTAGCAGAATGTCTGCAGCAGGGATAGAGTGCAGAAGGCCTGGGGGTGCAGCTGGTGGAGCCTGTTCCCCTGCAGTCGGATCAGTCTGAGGTTGGGGAGGCAGAGCAGGGCCTGGGGGTGCAGGAACTGCAGCCGGTTGTGATCCAGGTGGAGGCGCAGTAGTGAGGACAGGCCTGAGAAGCTCTCTGCTGAGATCTCCCTCAGCTTGTTATAGCTCAGCTTCAGGACCTGGGGGGAAGAGAGGGATGTATGATAATTGAAAATACATGGTATAAACTCCTCCAGCACTCCTACATACACATCAATGTGAGTCAAATGAACACAATAACACAATACAATAGCAGAGTGTGTCTAAGCTCAATAGAACTATGGACATTTGCTTCCAATTATTAGCTCATTCGACCCCTCTCCTCTCCATGGCAACTCTATAAGCCTCAGTACCTGAAGGGAGGACAGATCTTGGAACACTTCATCAGGAATCTCACAGATGTCATTCCCATGAAGCATCAGCAGCTCCAGCCTCCTCAGACCGGCCAATGAGCTGTCTGGGATCCTGTTGATACTGTTGAACCTATCAGATACCAGAGAGAAACAGCATCAGCCAATGGAATGCCTTTGTGTGTGTGTGTGTGTGTGTGCATTTGTGCGCAAGCCTTACCCTAGGTTGATGTGTAGTGTGTGTTGCGGTAGAGGCTGTGGTATGGTGAGCAGGGACCTGAAGGTGCAGTGTAGTTCAGTGGGCTGGTAGCAGGAGCAGGGCCGAGGGCAGGCACCACCAGGAGACACCAGGGTCACCAACACCACCACCACAGCAAGAGACACACCACACACACTGGGAACCATCTTCAATAGGAGGGACCCTCACTGCCGATATAGAAATATATACATCAGTGTGACACAAACACAAAGGCATGCATGCATTCATGGAATGCCACACACACACACAAACACACACACACACAGTCTCTGCAGTAACAACTATAATGCAGCTATAGTTTCTGCATTCCTAAACACTGGGTCAATAATTGTGTTCAATTGTCCAGTGTACTACAGAGGGCATGATGGCACTGACACACACAGCACTGATACACATTCTCAAGGCTTGTGCTGACATTCCCGTGCAAATTAGGCTACAGTCTCAGTCTGGTTTTTCTAACGTCCTGACCAGCAGTGAAAACGACCACGCTATCTTTGACATTGCTCTGACATTTCAAGTTATCCTTCACAAAGGAGAAGAATGAGTTATCTAAAGTCAGCAACTAATAGGCTGAATTTAACGCATCAAATCCGAGCGGCTACGACAACTGTTTCCTATTGTTTTGCGCGCGAATCTGCTTCATAGAACCTGTCCTTTAATAATCCACAGGCGAGCAGTTAACGATTAATCCTCTGACCTCTATACGGATACTGAGCTCCCTCTATACGGATACTGACCTCTATACGGATACTGACCTTTCTCTATTATTTGACTGACTGCTAAACCAGCTGCCACAGAGAGTGATGAAATTGAAGACAATCATACTTTTTCCTCGGTGCTTAAATGTGTATGATACAACTTTACAACTTTGCATTGCATGGAAATACTTAGTTGAAAAACGTTTTTGCACCTGGCGGCAATTTCACAGCAATTTCCCCCGTCATAATATGAATAGTAGGATAGGCATTTAATTTGGGAGCTCAGAATGATAACTGTCAATTTACCTCGCAATCCTTCAAACCGACGATATCAAGATTCTTCATTTCTTTATAGACAAAATCCCTTCAAGTGCTCATTTTGATCCAAATGATGATTCGGCGCCTTCGCATTCATGTAATTCCAGGTTTGTTTAATTATATACTATTGGCATTCAAAACGTTACTGACGTTTCAATAGGCTACAACTTTATCCATTGAAAATAAGAGGTGAAAACAATCCGAAAAAAGTCAAAATCCTTGCTTTTGTGAAAATATATATATTTTAATTTGTTTGGATAAAATAACGAATATATAAAAATGTTCTTGGTATTCCGACAGAGCACTATTGTTCCCCTGTGCAGCTGAAAGGAAGGGAAGGGATAAGAAATAATGGATGGTAAAAACTATTTGGGGAGGAGGGTGTCTGAGTGGGTGACGCTTGGAGAGGAGAGGAGGAGAGCTGAGGAGGGGCGGTGCTGGAGACTAAGAAGTGAAACTCTGAAACAGACTCCTAAATCTTAAATAACTGTGTGTAGCCTTTCATTCTTTTAGAAACGTAAAAAACATTTAATATTTTGAGTGACTTTCACAGTGTATCAATAACATCTTGAATAGTCCAAATGAATATACATGTAAGGAGCTCTAAAATTATATCTGCAATGGAAAGTGAGACTTTTACCTGTTACCCACCCTGGCTCTGTGCATTGTGCATGGCAAAAACATTCTTCACTACAACCACATCCAGCTGAGAATGAGAAGATGCAGATGGGTTGGGGGGCAGTCCCACACAGTCACCATTATTTACATTTACATTTTAGTCATTTAGCAGACGCTCTTATCCAGAGCGACTTACAGTTAGTGAGTGCATACATTTTTCATACTGCCCCCCCGTGGGAATCGAACCCACAACCCTGGCATTGCAAACGCCATGCTCTACCAACTGAGCTACACAGGGCTACCGGCAAAATTCTGTTGGACAGGGGTAGGAGTATGGGGGATCAGGTTGGAGGTCTGCCTGGGGGCCTACAGAGCTAAAAGGGGCCTGGGCCAGGTGGGTGTGTGTCCTTTATTTCTCTGTTCTCTGTCCCAGCTCTGACTCTTTCTTTCTTTCTTTCTTTTTCTGTCTGAGACGTCTCTGTTGTAGATACCAGTAGTTCTGTAGCTGTTTTCCTGTTCTTGTGTAATTCATCCAGTCAGGCTGTAGAAAGCATTAGGCCCAAACCCATTCAGACTGTCCCTCAGTTCCACACTGTTACATAACAGCAAAGCAGCGACCCAGTCCCACTCAGTCCAACACAGTCACCATTATAATATGAGGTTACTATCAAAATGCTGCTGGAATTCATATTAGTGTCTGACTGTCTGGCCTGCATGCTGTAATGGCATGATGTCAACAGAACAGAGCAGAGCAGTGGCAAATAAAGTATGGGCTCATTTCCCTCTGAGGGGTTTCTAGGCATCGTCTGAATCAGTAGTTTGTGATAGTTCAGATGGGGCATGGTCCGAATATGGGGTCAGGGCTGGTAGTCAGGGTTTGGAGCTACATGGGGTCAGGGCTGGGAGTCCACCTGCTCAATTAGGCTGGAAAAGGGAAGGGGTAGGGGGGGTCAGGGCTGGGAGTCTGCCTGGCTGTAAAGGTGAAAGGCAGGAGTCAGAGGCCTGGTTCCAGAAGTGTGTAAGGCTGGGTCAGTGGTCTCCGTGGCTGGGGCAGGGAGTGAAGGTTAGTCTGGGGTCAGGGAAGTGGGTTAGGAGTAGGGGGGGTCAGGCTGGGACAGAGGTAGGAGTAGGGGGGGGTCAGCCTGGGACAGAGGTAGGAGTAGGGGGGGTCAGGCTGGGACAGGAGTAGGAGTAGGGGGGTCAGGCTGGGACAGGAGTAGGAGTAGGGGGGTCAGGCTGGGACAGGAGTAGGAGTAGGGGGGTCAGGCTGGGACAGGGGTAGGAGTGGGGGGATCAGGCTGGAGGTCTGCCTGGGGGCCTCTGGCTCCATGGGGTCAGGCTTCCTTTAGTCATGTCCTCCCTATCACACAGTCTTAAATCAGCATGACAACAACTAGTTACACATAACAGTGAGGCTTTGGGGCTACAGCAGACACATTGCTCTATACTGACAATACTGATGTGACAATGCAGCATTGGTCACAGTTATACAGCAGGGAGAACAACTAGGGAGTAGCTCTGTTGGCTCCGCTGTCTGTCTATGTTGGTCTGAGTCTAACTACAGCCCTGCCTTCCAGGTTTAAAGAAAATAAACATTTAAGTGAGTCAACACTTCACTTTAATCGGTTTGAACAGAATGCTGTGAATAAGGCTACTTTTTAATGTGGGTCGTTTAGCGATAACTGGGCTCTGTAGTAGTCTACAGAGCAATAACTGGGCTCTGTAGTAGTCTACAGATGTAGGCTGTAGCATGGATTCAGCCTATAGGACAGAAGTTAATTGTTACGGACACATTGTGCTCCAGTCTTGATATAATTAAACACATTGAATTTCCTAAGAATTTCATTTTTAACATGAAAGGGATTCCAGCTCTATTAACTAAATGGAGGCCTGGGTATTATGGCCATAAAAACAGAGAATTATGACATCTGGGACAATGGGAAACAGCGGAAGTGATTTCCCAGAGGCTGAAACAGAGACTGTCCTCACTGAAACACTGAGAGGAAGAACATAATGACAACAGAGGACGACGACACTGACAGAGAGAGTCTAGTCAAGTTCTTCCAGTCTAATAGCCCAGTAATGCACTATTCATTGTTGTGGATGTATTATAGCTGAAGACAGTCAGACAGACAGTTTGGACAGTTGTATTTTCACTCTCAGTTGAATACTCTTTGTTCTCTGCCATAACTAACATCACAAATTGGTTTCATAGGATCTGACCTTGTGTTTAATGGCCATACTCAAATTATTACATGATTACATGACATATTCTGCTTCTATTGTGATAGCAGTAATATAGTAGCAATACAGTAATAACAGTAATTGGGACAGGCACCACGTGTCCATGTGTCCATATGTCCCAGTCCCGGTCTCAGCTAGTGTCCAGATGGAGCTGGTGACAGAACTGATGACTCCACATGGTCGTCATTACACCAGGAACAACAGGAAGCCTCACAGAGAGATCTGTTGGAAACACCAGCCAGCCAATCACAGATATGGAGAACAAAGCAATAGGAACCAATGTTGTCATACTTTAGGCTCGACTTCCTCCAGAGGACTGTCAAATACAGTTGATTCCTCAACCGACTCCTTATAAGTGCACATCACTTCTCCAGTCTGAATGTGTTCTCCTGCTCTAGATATTTGTATGCTACAGTCCATCCCATTAGACTGGTCAGTGGGCCTCACAAGTCTGTTCCATGGAGCCAGGAGGCTGTAAAAGCTGGAACACTGTGTGGAGTGGAAAACACATATTAAACTCAGTCACAGCTTTCCCAGGACAAGGATGAGGTTAGGGAAATTATATTCAAAGTCGTGATCGCGACCCAGTGGGGTCACCAACATTTTAGAGTACAGATTATTGTATGGGACAATATACAAACGTTTTTAAGAAAGATAATTCGAAAAATACAATTGTATTGTGTAAATGTATTTACTGGTATCTTTTCATTTTGATAAGAGATGAAAATGCAATGAATTGAAGGTTATTTGTTGATTAGGGTGAGGAGTAGGAGATGCTTGGGAGGTGTGTGTGTGTGTGTGTGTGACAGGGTGAAGCAGTGATCTGGGGAGGTAATGTTCAGTCTGTCACATCGGGGTGCTGTGCTGTGGCTCCAGGGCTTGGCCTGATTGAAAGGTGGAACACAGTAAAAACACAGTAAACACACTAACAAGCACAGAGAGGCGTGTTCAGCAACATATTAGCAAGCAGAAAAAGGTGTGTTCTGCATGCTAATGACAGGCTGCCATGGACACAAACACTCAAACATGTATGAAGGAGCAGAATCTAACCCTAACCTTAATCCCTAACCCCCAAACCCTTAACCCAAACCCCTAATGGATCTTATATGGTAAACATGCATGCTGAAGCAGACCCCAAAATGGCACCTCATACAAGGCTCAGGCTAACAGCAGGTTGGCATCAGGGAAGATATGAAGTGTGTGAATGAGCTTCAATCCCAAGGATAAGCAGGTGTGTGTTCTCCAACCCTTTACCCAGCTGGTCCATT